GAGTGATTTTTCGTTAACCTGTGGCAAAGCCACAAAAAGGTTGCAAAAATTTTAAAATTTTATTTTTAATATTTTTATAAGCCTATATAAAGTTAATAAGCTGCCCATCCAAATTTTTATTTAAAAATTTAAAAATTTTTTTATAGCTATTATTATAATTTCTGAAACACCTGATAAAAATTAGCCGAATGATTGTTTGGCTGATTTGGTTAAGTTAGTGATTTCGGCATGATCTATTATATAATAAAAATAATAAAAACTATTATGACCAATTATAACAATAATGTTTATGTTATTAAATTTTCATTCCAATGCTTTCCAATATGCTTAGTGTTTAGTTTGCATGAAAATTTATGGAAAAGACTACTAGTGTCAACCAATAAACCTTAGTAAGTAATTTAAAAAAAAGATTGGATATAAATTAGACTTTTATAACAAATATAATACATAAACAGGTACCACTTTTAAAAAGTTGATATGATTATGAATTTGTCGACTGGTTTAAAAATGAATCTCAGGTTAGGTTTCCAAACAACCAAAATATTACTAATATTTGTTGAGAATGCATGAAGAATTATCAAAGTAAAAAAATTTAATTTAATTTTATCTAGCCTAAATAAATTAATACTATATAGAATATAAATTGTTGTAAGCGAACTAATTTGAATATAAAATAAGTAAATATTTAACCTTTGTTTTGTAACCTTTTCTTGCCATTCTTTGGTTATATTGACATGAAAATGAATGTTGAGATGTTAGCTAATCAGCAGGGAAAACGGATCTTTAATATTACCAAAACTATAAAGAAGAGCCAATTATGATTCAAACTACGGCACCAACGACAGCTTCAACGTCAGTCAGCTCCTACAACTATTCCAGTTGCAAGAATAAAGCGTATGTAAAATATAGATCATAGATGCGATGATTTTTTTCCTGATTTACCAAAAGAAAATTCCGAAATCTTCCAATCAGCAATCAGTATTATTCTAATAGAATGAATCGGGTATGACTCGGGCGGATCTTCGTGTGGGTCCGAATCCGTATTGATTCTGATAAATTAAGGGTCCGAACTCGGTCCGTCAACGGACCCGGACCAGACCCGGGCGGACCCGGATCTTTTGCGGAACACTAAATTTTGCAAATAAAATTATACCATATACGTATATACTACTATAATCCTTATTTTTAAATTGCCACGGGATATGGGTACGGGTTGGCGGAGTACAGATACAAATATTTGCTCATAAAAATGCCAGACACTAGTTGACACTTTAGTGCCTGGCAATTTTGTATCCATGGGCACAGGCATGGCACAAGATACTAGTGTTTGGACTGATGTCAATATGCCTGACATGGGCATTTGTAAACCCTAGTTAATATTAATTTTCATATGAAATAAAACTAAAGATTATTTACCTATGCTATTTAGGGATGGCAAGTTTTAAAACACGATCTTAAAAATCATGTCTGTTTTAGTTTAAAATGGTTTAAATACATTATGACGTAAATATGATCCGATTTCGTAATTTAAACTATTTCTAAATTCAAAAAATCAAACCAATGTATTCTGTTCGTGGAAGACTCCGTTAAAAGAAATCCGTTTAAATTTTAAAAAAGTTACTGAACCTGATAAACATGACCTAACAACGTTTCACCAAAAATGTAATCATTGCGAAGAAGACTGTGTTGATTTAGTTGGCCAATTAAAAGTCATTTATAAACTTATTCAATTAGTGGTAATACTATAAACCTTGGACTTTCAATTCCAATAAATGCAAAACCAATATAAATAAAATGTTGTATTGGTGTATTGGCTGATAAGCAAATTTCGTATTTTTTAAAATTGTAATAGCTTTGATAAAATTAAAGCGATCAAATATATTAAATTTTCTTCTAAAAAATTTAAAAAAATTTTCTCGGTTGAAAATCAAAATTAACCAACCAAAGGAAAGTTTCAGCAAAATTTTACGTAGTATCAGACGTCAATTTTAAAAACTTTTTTTTACCATCCCTAATGTTGTCATCGAATAAGGAAGTTTATATCACTCTTAATAAGTAATCAAAAAATTTTATTCGATTTATGGAGTGCGGGGACACTTTAATACTGCATATTAATAATAAATTATCATAACTATTTATAGAAACCATCGCCATATCGATCACGAAATCACGAAATCAAATCAAAACTATTCTGTAAGCCGAAAATATGATTTCATGGTCTCTGTAACCCGTATGTTTGGCGAAAAATTGCTATGTAATACATATTGTATCATTGCTAAAAAAAAAAAAAAGCATAGCGTCTTATAAAAATGTAATTTGGCGGGGGTTTTTTTTTTTAAAAAAAAAAATTTAATTTGTCAAGAAAGTCAAGAAGCGATTTTTGGAAGTTCTTAGAGTGTTCGCACCATATAATGAAATGACTTAACACCTAGATAAATATAACACTTTGATTGACTGAAATGTGTGAAAGTCCAAATTTGCATAAATCAGATAATCATAATCGGAATCACACTGGCGTCAACTTAGTATAAAGCGTAAAATTTGAAACGGACATTTAAACGAACAAATAATCCTTATCTGTTATGAAATTAACATGCTAACCTTTTCTAACACAAGAGGCAAAAAGATTTACCGTTATCGTTAAGTTTATTCCGAATGCCTGACTTGCTTGAAACGTGAACAGAAAAGGATAAATATTTGGCAAAAATATTAGATCAAAATTGCAGAATTATTATCAAAAGGTATATTACTATAAATTCGTAAGTCAAGAAGATATATACCATTTATACAGTAAATGCTTATTAATCAATTAATTTATGCATTTATTGTGTTAGATACCTTTTTTGATGTTCGTACTTACATATATATGTATGTAGGCATCTGGTATAACCAACTATACGAATTTGGTACAGTATGATTTTATCGATATCGATAATGATAGTTGCTCGCACTTGATATAATGCTTGGGGCGGTCTCCTTTGTGCAATAATTATTTTCGAGTTTATTTACGCCCAACTGGTCAGATGCTTTTCAGCCAATCAACAATTATCTCCAAATATGATAATGATGCTCAATAACAGCCTACGGGAACGATATAATTTTAAATTTTCGGATAATTTATTGACAATAAACATTTAGTTTATGAATAGACTGAGGGTGAATTGCGGAAGAAACATTATCGTTATCAAAGGAATTAAGATATGAATGAAATTTTCTGCATGCGTATGTACATGCATGTATGTATGTATGTACGTACGTACGTAACTGATTTTTTAAAATAGTTTCTTATCTATTGTCGCACATATGTACGTAAGTACGTACCATTTTTTTTTTTCTCCATTCGAATATGCTTATTGTAATGAATGCATAGTGTAACCATATAATTCAAAAATATCATATTTTAACTGAATATCATTAGAATCAAAATCTTCGTAAAGATTCTTTCTAAAGATTTCATCTAGCACTTATAAGCTTCAAAATTTTTTTAAAAAATTCTCATTGTGGTTTAAATTTAATTTTAGGCTATTAGACCTAAGGATAATTATGACTAGACTCGGTTCTGTCTCAGGCAGGTCGGATCGAATGATTCGATCTTAAGTTAAGGGTCGCTCTGATTCTCCGAAATTTTCCGACACGAGTCGTGAATCCCAAGATCACTGAACAATAATTCCAAACTTAGAATAGTAATCTACATTAATTTTAGTAAGTAAAACAATATAATTAAAAACATTAATAACTTAAACAAACCTGATGATTAACGGGTGTTTGATTAACGGGTGTTTATCGTTATCGTGAGAGTTTCATTTCTTATTCATTAAAATTAATAAAAATTAGCGTATTATGATGTGGAGGGAAATAAGTGTTTGTTGTGCAAAAAATTCTTCAATAGGAATGGAAATCATTGATCTGTTAATTCGCCATAACTTTATTATATGTAAAATGTTATTTTACATAGATACCATACTGCCGTTTAGTTGTAAAATTATTTCTAATTTAATAATTATGATGATTCTTAGATGCTGAGTCAGCAGATGAAGATAACAACTTTGAGAATAATTAAAGAACTTTGGGAATGAACCAATTATAAAATCTTTAAATCGTGGAAATTAAATGATTATCTATGGATCTTATCTTAAATCTCCTGATTAATTTTTCTAGAAATATAAAAATTTCCGACAAATGTGATCAACTATATCACAAATTTCTAATTCTAGAATAAATGGCTCGTATCAGTCCGTTAACTATGCAGAGCTGTTTATGTTGGGGCACGACGAATTTTTTTTTACACAAAAAATTCATCGATTCAGAAACACAAACTAGATTTTATGTGCATCTTTGTTTGGCACGTTCATACGTAAATTGTAGATCAATGGTACATAACTGATATTTACATAATTGGATTTTGCCTTTTAAAAAATAATATCAAACACCCACACCTAACAGGAGATGACTTAACAGGAGATTATTTAAAATTTCCGGAATGCAATCCCTAATTATTTACATTTTTTTAGTACGACTTTAACGAAAATTGCTCGTAGTTAAAGATAAGCCATATTTGGGTTAGGCATCTATAGATGTGATACAGTTTTTTCTAATAATCATGAAATTTTAAGGTAGATCTTATTATTATTTAGGTACTAGTTTAATTTTTTTTATAATTCATATACAGATAAAAATAATATCAAAATTATTTCTCTAATCTATTTATAATATATGTATACGTATAAGATGTCCAAACAAAGAGAAAAAAAATTATATAAAGGCGTGGAATTTTGTCCCTGCATTCTCACTCTTCAATTCGAGAAATTGAGTTATATCAAATTGAATCAATTGAATTGAATTTGAATTCTCACATCATCTAATAATCTAACTGGTAAACTTTCCATTTCTCTTTTTTTCTTCAAATTAAAAATTTACCTCCAATCGTTTATATCTAACTTTTTTTTTTTTTTTTTTTTTTGTTTGTTTGTTTATTTATTATTTTTAGCATATTCATCAAAATGTCTACGAACAGTACAAATACTTCGAGTACTTCAAGTACTTCAAATCCAGTGCCAGTACCTGCTGGCGATATCGCCTGGGTCATGGCATCTACCGCTTTGGTATTTTTAATGATCCCTGGTGTAGGTTACTTTTATAGTGGTATGGCTCGTAGTAAGAATGCATTATCACTTATAATGCTCAGTGTACTATCTGCTGCTGTAGTTTCATTTCAGGTAAATATATATATATATATTTTTCTTGTCTTGATTTATCTTTTAAAGATTTTAAAGTTAATTTACTTATTTATTTATTATTTATTATTTACTTTTATTTATTTATTTATTTATTCTAGTGGTGGCTAATCGGTTATAGTTTAACTTTTGGCACTTCAACAACGAAATACATTGGTAGCGGCGAAAACGCCTTCTTTATGGGTGTCGATATGACTCCCGTTTCTTCATTAATTACAATACCTAAAATTGCATACGCAATGTTTCAATGTATGTTTGCCGCTATCACTCCTGCTCTCGCTTTAGGTTCTGCTGCAGAACGTGGTCGTATATTACCAAAAATTGTTTTTATCTTTGTTTGGACTACTCTTGTTTACGATTTCATCGCTTGTTGGTCTTGGAATCAAAATGGTTGGTTGGCCGTCTTGGGTGCTTTAGATTTTGCTGGTGGTACCCCTGTTCATATTTCTTCCGGTAGTGCTGCTCTCGCTTATGCTATAATCCTTGGTAAACGTCATGGTCATGGTTCAACTGATTTCAAACCTCATAATATCGCAAATGCTGTTCTTGGTTGTGTATTACTTTGGTTTGGTTGGTTCGGTTTTAATGGTGGTTCTGCATTAGCTGCAAATGCACGTGCTGCAATGGCTTGTGCTGTTACAAATTTGTCTGCCGCTGTTGGTGGCTTAACTTGGGTTTTAATGGACTATCGAATTGAAAAGAAAATTTCGGCTCTTGGTTTTTGTTCTGGTGCTGTTGCTGGTCTTGTTGCTATCACCCCTGGTTCTGGTTACGTCGGTACTCCTGCTGCTGTAGCTTTTGGTGTTGTTGGTGCCTTTTTCTGTAATATTGCTGTTCATTTAAAGCATATTTTCGATTTTGATGATGCCCTTGATGTGTTCGCTGTACATGGTGTTGGTGGTCTCATTGGAAATATTTTAACTGGTATATTTGCTCAAAAATCAATTGCCGCTCTTGATGGAACTGTTATTGCTGGTGGTTGGATAGACGGAAACTTTATTCAATTGGGTTACCAACTTGCTGATTCTGCTTGTGGTATTACATACTCGTTCGTTATGACATATATCATTTTATTTGTAATGGATAAGATTCCAGGATTATCTCTTCGTGCCGACGCTGAAGCTGAAGCAATTGGTATCGATGAATCCGAATTGGGTGAATTAGCTTATTATCATATCGACAAAATTATTTCTGTAAACAAATTAACCGGTGAAACAAAAACTGTTAAAGAAGAAACAGTACTTCAAAATAATGATGTAAACGTTTCAATTGTGTAAAAATTTAATTATTTTTATGATACTTGAATTGCATTTTACCTACATTATATGTAGCATTTTTACATTTCAAAAAAAAAAAATTGCATTTTTATAGAATAACATTAACATTTATAATATTTTATTGAACAAAAAGATCTGTAAATATATTGGGAATATGGTTTTTAGGATGTAGTTTTAGTATTTCTTGATATTGGTTTTTTTTAAGTTTGACTTTTTTTTTTTTTTTTTTAACAAAGGACAATTGATTTTGGTAAACGACATTTTTTGTATTGGTGGGTTTTTTTGAAATTAAATGATATGATATTAAATATATAAAAATGAATTTATAATAGGCATCTAAAATACAACTATACACCAATTTTTTAATAAAATTATTAAAAAATGTTTTATTTATTACAAAACTTTGTTTATAGTTTTTAATCAATATATATATCATTTATAAAAAATTTTTTTCAGAACTCATTGAGACATTTGAGTTTTTTTTTTAAGAATTCAAACCGCTTTGCATTAGGAGAAAAAATATCTTCGCCATGAATCTAGCTAATATTATACAAGCTACCGTATTACCGCGAAATAACGCACACCTGCGCGGTGTTTCGATCACCTGCGCGGTGTTTCGATCACCTGCGCGCTATTTTGAGTGCGCGCATGTGCGCTATTTTGAGGTAACCACAATTTTTTAAGCAT